TTAAAGGAGTAAGTGTAAAATGGCGCTTAAAAAAAATGGCGCGTAAAAAAATGGAGCGTATAAAATGACGCACTTAAAAATGACGCAAGATTTGTAGCGTAAATTTAATTTTTTAGGGAAAAATTTAGGGAAAAATTTATAATTTTTGGGCAAATGAATTTAACATAATAAACACTAAAAACATTTTAGGGAAAAATTTATAATTCTATTAAAAATTATAATTAAAAATTATATAATTAAAAATCACTTCATTGATCATTTCAGCACCAACTTGTACGTCTTCCATATTTAAAATAGTTGCATAGTGCGTGGTTGTGTGTTGTACCGCACGTGCACAATCTCCTCTCATTATAGTATTTTTCGCCTCAATTGCAATTCGTTCTAACTACTGCATGCGCTGTTCCGCAATCCCGTCACCTAATACAGGTGGAATGCGAATTGCATTTTTAACGTTACTTTTAATTTTGGACCAGATCGTTTCCACCGGGTTCAACATTGGACTGTAAGGTCCCAAACGTAACAACTGAGCTGGTGAATTATCAAACACCCTTTGCAAACGAGCGTGACAAGGAGCATTATCTGTTACGACGACCAAATCCTCCAACCGATTCCCGGATGTAACCCACTGGTGAAACATAGCCAACATCCACTCGTTACAGGAATCTGCTTTAAATGATCCCCTGCGAGTTTCTATCATGACGACATTTGTAGTTGAAATAGCTGCGATCAAGTGTATGTTTAAACCTTTTGAAGCAGGTACTTTCATAATTGCTCTTTTTCCTTGTCTCGCGCGTCCTTGAGTTTTTCTACAAAAAAGGTTAAAATTTGTTTCATCCAACCAAACTATCTGACGACCATTTGTGATATGTTCGTTGATGTTTCTAACATATTCAGCTCTTTTTTGTTTGTTTTCATGACTGTTCATTGTAGAAGGCTCCTTGTGCACTTTTTTTAATGAGAACAATCTGCCTTCGAGGTAATTTGCTATTGTTGTTGTGCTAAAGTTTATGTTAAATTGCCTTAATATCTTTGTTTTGATGGCCACCAATGTTAATTGACAATCATTTTCAATCCATGTTAATGTTTCTTCGATTTGATCTTCGGTCAACTTTTTCGGTTTAAAACCTCCTTTTCCGATGAAATTTGAATTTCCGCTGCGAACCCAATTGTATGCTGTCTTATATTTGATACCTAGCGTTTGCGCGAGATTCACCCAATCTTCAAATCGCTCCGCACATTCAACAACTCTTCTCCTGTCATTTGGAGAAGATAAAACGTAACGTTTCCTTTCAACTTGTTGAAACTTTCAGTTGTGTGTATTTCATGCCGACAAATCGGACAGCTTGAATCTGGTTGCTCCAGAACTGGACGTAAACAAATTTGGTGACATAAATGTTGACACGGATTTAGCTTAATCACAGACTTTCGGGTCATAGTGTATTGGCATATAACACAACGATCTTTCAATTCCATTATTATTACTTGCGCATACAAAAGCAAAATTTAAGATTATAACTTAAATTCGTGTCCAAAAAGACCTTTTGTAACAACCTACAAACTTAGACTGTGAATTTGCTATTTTAATTTATGTGTTCTCAATTACAAGTTACGATTTCTCAATTACATATTATGATTTCTCAATTATATCTTACGTTTTCTCAATTACATGTTGTGTTTCTTAATTACATGTTACGACTTCTTATTTACATGTTGTGTTTCTCAATTACATATAACGTTTTCTCAATTACATGTTGTGTTTCTTAATTACATATTACGACTTCTTAATTACAACTTTCATGTTCTCATTTACATCTTGAAAAGGTGTATATAACTTTTTTAGCAGTTGTTTTTATGTCATCGTTAGTTGTTACGTTTTGTCAGTTTATTACTGTTTTTATGTCATCGTTAGTTGTTACGTTTTGTCAGTTTATTACTGTTTGTAACTGTAACTTTGTATGTAAAAACGATTGCTGTATAGAAAGTAATACTGATTCATTTAAATTATTATAATTACTATTATTGTTACTATTATTATTGTTATTATTATTGTTATTATTATTATTATTACTAAGGTTAATTGTATATATAAATTATTTTTTTAAGGTATTTACTTAAGATTAGTATTTTAATACTATTTGTAAATAGCCGTGAAAATTTATTTTCAGAATATATATGATTGATTTATTAATTGAAGCGTAGGCGAATCGAGGATATTTACCAACCGAAACTTACCGCATTAAGTGTTAGCCTAACGTGAGTTTATCTACTTCCGTTACACAAACTCTACTGTAGTTAAAAAATCCGTTAAAAAAAATCAAAAACAACACCTAATAATTAGCCATAAAATTTACTCTGTAACTTTTTTTTTACTTACAGACAGGAGTCAAAAGGTGCTAATACCCCACAGACGGAGGCATCCTCCAGTCACAGTAAGAAAAATGCAGAAATCTGTACTAATCAAGAAAGTGAAATAAGTCAGCAAGATAATATTACCAGACAGTTAAGAGTAAATATAAATAAAGAGCCGTTGACTATAACTGGTGCACAAGCTTGCGCACCAGTTATAGTCAACGGCTATAGTCAACGTTATAGCTTCACAGTCAGATTCAGTAACCTCTACATCATACTGTAATGCAATTATACTATATTGCAATTCAAATATGACCCGGGCCTACCAACCAGATGATGAATGTATACTCAAAATGAAAAGAAAACAAACTGGAAACACAAAAGAGTTTAGAATGTTTCAAAAGTCATGGTACACTAAATGGTCGTGGCTAACACTCTGCGTAACAAGGTATAAAGTATTTTGCTTCTATTGTCGATTTATTGAATGTATCAACAAACTTGATTTAAGCAAAACAAAGGAACCTGCCTTTGTGACAATAGGATTCGACAATTGGAAGAAAGCAGTTACTAAAATTAATGAGCACGAACCAAGTGATTCCCATAGGGAAGCCTTAGAAAAGAACCAGCTTATAAATCAAAGGGTTAAATCTGTAACAAGTCAACTTTTAAAGCAGATTAGACAAAACTAGAGTAAAAGACAACAAATGTTTTTAGTAGAATTGTCGTCCTTAAAGTTTCTTCTGCGTCAAGGTCTTGCAATACACGGTCATACAGAAACAGAGGGGAACCTTAAACAATTGATGTTACTGAGATCACAAGATGTAAAAGGGCTACAAAATTGGCTCCAGAGCAAAAACTACTAATCTCCAATAATAGTAAATGAGTGTATAGAACTTTTTGGCCGAGCGGTGATTTTAAAGTTGTTATCACATATCCAGAATTCGAAATACTTCGCTATTATAGGGGATGAATCCAGGGACATTTCAAACAAAAAGCAGCTATCAATTTGTATACGTTGTCTGTTATAAATGCAATGGCAGAAATTGGAGAATTGGTATCAGATGACTCTTGGTCCAAAGCGAGGGGAATATCGCAACAGCTTCAAAAGTTTATATTTATTTTAGCATGAAAATGTGTTTTCTTTTTTTTAATGCAACAGAGCAGGCTTCAGGTACGTTGCAAACGAAAGCATTGTCCTTAACTGAAGCTATGAAGTGTGTGACAGTCACCAAACAGTATTTGCAAAGATTAAGAGATAAAATCTGAAGCTGATGATTTAAGTTAGTGAGCAATCAATTCCACGGACTCGAAAACAACCACGGTGGTTAGATTCTGGCTCAGAACCTCATATTTTCACAGATGTTTCTGATTATTTCAGACAAAAGTTTTATGAAGTCATTGACCTCTTGGTTGGTGAACTTGACTTGAGGTTTCAGCAGCCATCTGTAAAAAACGCCATTAATATGGAAACGCTTTTATTGAACTCGTCAAACTTGGAGTCAGAAACTATCGAGATCCATCTCTGTCAAAAATGTGACATCGACTGGACAAGGTTAAAATGACAACTTCACGTGCTACCTGAATTATTCAAACAGAGCAAAAGCAACAAAGCCAATTGATGAAGTGTCTAAAGTTCTAAGAGTCTTTCTTACTATACCGGTCAGTACAGCAACAGCAGAAAGATCATTTTCCAGTCTAAGGAGGCTAAAAACATATCTCCGTTCTACTATGAATCAAAAAAGATTAAACAGCACCATTATGAGTCATATTCAGAAAGATATTTTGGAAGAAGTTGATATTAACACTATTTATAAAGAATTTGTGCTGGCAAATGATCAGCGTCAACGATATTTTGGAAAACCAGAGAGTTTGTTTCACGTATTTCGAACTTAATAAATTATGTTATATTTAATGTATTACTTTATAATTATATTTTTGTAATATTTAATTATGTTGTGCTTAGTTTATTACATTATTAATGTAAAACTGTCTTAACAATTATCAAAAACTATTAAATATTTATTGAAGGTAAAATATATAAATCAATAGGAGCGCCAAGAGTAATAACATTGTGTGTGATAAATAATTTAATAAATAAATCATTATTATCTATTTTGCTGTACCATACGAAATTGAGAAACTTTTTCTTTTTTAACATATGTTTTCAGCCCCTCCCCAACTTTCACGACCTTTCTACGCCACTGTATATATATATATATATATATATATATATATATATATATATATATATATATATATATATATATATATATATATATATATATATATATATATATATATATATATATATATATATATATATATATATATATATATATATATATATATATATATATATATTAGTGATGTAAATTTTCCAGTAAAATTTGATTCAAAATTTACCGGAAAATTTTAAATAGAGAACGGTAAATTTTCCTTTAAAAAAAAAAAAAAAATAAGTATAAAAAAATTTTAAAATTAACCAGGGGGTAAATTTTCAAAATTTTCCGGTATATACACATATTCATAAATATATATATATATATATATATATATATATATATATATATATATATATATATATATATATATATATATATATATATATATATATATATATATATATATATATATATATATATTAATAAAAATTATATATTCTTGATATAGAATTCTCTTTTTAACAACATAAAACTAAACAATAACGAACATAAAGAATTAACAAATACTAACAATCTGATACTGTAACACTTAATACTTTCAAGTTTTACATCTCTTGGAATTTTTTTATTGTCAATTAAATGCCTCTTTAGAAGAAAGCTGTTACATCCAAGATCTGATGAAGGGTGT